ATTTTAATTTCTTTCCTATATTGCATGTTCATGTTTTTTCATTATGTTTCTGAGCTCCTTTATTTTTTTTAATGTGTATCTACTCCAGAATCACGGTAGCATATCTTTCATTCTGGTCACTATCACTCTACTTTTTTTGAGAAATTATTTCTGATTTCATTTTTCCAAGAGACTTTCATTTTTTTTTGTTAATTCTCTTGTTACCTGAACAGGGAGTTCAGATGGTTGACCATCAAATTGTTCCATCTCATTGCTCCTTGGGTTTTCCTTTGGTGAGCTGGAAGTTGGACTTGAATCTTGTTTAGATGTCTTTTCGATTTTATCTTTCTGTTGATGTTTTTGGTTTAATTCCTGAGTTGATACTTATATATTGCTTTTTACAAGTATCTTTATTGCTAGTATTTAGAACCCTTAGGGGATGACTACTCAGAGGTGTCTTCTGGGCATAGCTGGTCTTTCGGTTTTAAGCCTATAATGACCCTTAGGTAATGTTGGTTTTAGAATACTAGGAAGAATGACTGACTAGAACAATCATGTCACCTTATCCAAAGTAATACAATTACTTTGTATTACAAAGTATTGTAATTATTACAAAGTATTGTAATTGTATTACAAAGTAATACAATTAACAATAGCATCAAACAGCTGAGAAAATGCCAAATTGGGGTAACTATTAAACTATTAATTGGTCACCTTTAACTACATGAGCAAGACTTGTGGATATATACCAAAAACAAGGACATCCAGAAATATGTTTTCAGTAAAAAAGCCCTTCAAAACAGTGAATTTACCCTCTGGCAAGAGGATTTGGATGGAGTTGGTGGGGATATAGAAAAGTAGAAGGAGAAGGAAAGATTAGAAGTATGGAGAGAGAATGCAGGAAAATCATGTAAACTTTTGAACACTGGTGAAGACAGGAGGAAAAAGAGAATAAAGAAAAAAAACAAGACAGAACAAACTAATGGCAACAGGAAAACTAGAACTGCATTCATGCTCTTATAGAAATAGGAACAATCAGGAAAAATGAAACAGTGGAAAAAATGGGAACAAGAAAGGAGAAAACTGGAGGAGGAGGAGGAGGAGGAGGAGGAGAAGGGGGAAAAGAAGAAGAAGAAGAAAGATAAAAGAAGAATAAGAAGAGGAGGAGGAAGAAAAAGAAAGAAGAAAGGGAAGAAAATAATAACAATAATAAACAAAATCCTTCACAATGTGCCTCTGCTGTCCTCAGTAGACAATGTGGGCAGCAGTGTGCAGATCTGAGTCAATTAGTCTCAGTGAGCCAGCCATAATCCACTGAGATTCAGTCTGGTTTCTGGCTGTGAGGCTGGAATTGAGCTCCCCAAACTCCTATGGGTTTGAACTCTGCTCACTTCTGCTGCAAGTTTGAACCACCCATTCCCTACAAGTTCAGGGTTCCAGTAGAAGATCCTGATCGTGACCACTCACCAACCACTGTGATCTTCACTCTACCAGTGGGTTTTAATTCTCAACAAGCCTCAGAGAGGCCCTATCTCTGCTGCTCACTACTCCGACAAGTTCCAGAGCTCAGAACATTGTCTTTCTGCTCTCTGCTGTTGTCTGTATCTGGCTGTACCTCTCATGAGGTGTACTGATGATGGCCCACCGGCACAGTCCTGCTGTTGATGGCACCCTGGGCAGTATCACTTGCTTATCATATTTTAATTATTGCTCATTATTTTCTGAACAGTCTAAATTTCTTTCACAACTGAAATGTAACTTCTTGAAACCATTTTCTTATTCTTTTCCAGTCTCATATTGGGGATATTTCAGCCAAACTGATTTCTTTACAATGTATTGACTATGTGGAGGCCTCAATTATATCCTACATTTAAAATCAACAATTTTTCTATCTAGAAAGTTCTTGCCATCTATGTATTTTTTAAATTCTAAACACTGTGCCTTGGTTTGTCATCTTCTTGAAACTTTTTTCTTGATCTAATTACAAAGGTTTTAGTTGGCTTTCCTATCATACAACTCTGCATTAACTCCCAACCACATTATAATATAATCCTGTCTTATCTGTTTTGATGCACTAGATTAAACTCTTGTTAAGCATTTTATCCCTGTTTTCCTTTTTAACTTTATCCTTGGAATAGAATAAGAAATCTTAAAATCTGGGTTGAATTAATTTCATTGAAAAGTCTTCTGAAATAAATAACATCTCATTTGTCTCCATGTTTCCCACAGGATTAATGCTAAATCATTCCTTGTGTCTTTTATATTGGTAAGGACTCATATAACAAATATTACTGTTGACAGCAATCATTTTGGATTTTTTATGCTAAAAGTGTTATAGTATTTCAGTACTGAGTATGTTGGTTGAGGTACAGCTGATTAGTGATGAGAAAGAACTGCTATATACTATAAATGTGCTCAAAGTTTTCTGCAAACTATTTAGAAATGGCTTGATATGTACTCTGTTCATCTTTAACTTCTTTTCTGGTAATACCATCACTTTTGAAATTCATTGTTCACTATCTTCACTGATAGACTCAATTTCATTAGCAGAGGTCCTGTGCCCAACTTTTTCTACTAGTTCCTTAGAAACTAATAGTAGCTGGAACATATAAGCATTCAGCAAAAGTTCAACTGATTTTTATTCATCGATGCAGTTTACATGTTAATTTTCTTTTTATCTTGCTTTCTATATTTTGCTTATTTCCCTTTAACTGTAGAGCACGGCTTGCTGCTTCTTCATCGAATTGGAAGTTGTTAATTTTTTCATTCCAACTGTCTACTTTCAAGATTTTTTTCAAAAGAAATTTTTTAACCTATAGTTTTTGAGTTTTTAATTTTAAATAAAGCTACATAAAATGTATAGTAAAATATGTATATGAACAACACATTCAACTTTCTTTCAGTTTCTATTGAGATATTAGTAAAATTCTACAGTAGAGAACAATATGCTACCTATTTTGTAAGCATTTTATTATAACTATTTACTAGTAGTAGCCATGTACATATAACATTTAGTCATTACTTCCAGTCATTCAGACTTTCTCATATATATGAAAGATTATATGCAAATAAACAATATATGTGTGAAGTAATTTAGTACTTACTAAAATTTATTTTAAAGAAATTATCGTGGCTGTAGCTACATAAATACATAATAATTGATATTTTCTTATAATAATAGGGAACTGGTAAATAATCTAGATGTTCAGTTATAGATAAGTGTTCAAATAAACTATAACCCAGACGTGCGATTTTTTTTCTTAATATTTTAATATTACATTAATACTTATAGGAACAGAACTACGTACCATAGGAAAACACAATAATCAGCATGAATCAAGCACACGTTGGTGGCAGAAAATGAGACTGAAAAGATAAAGTACTATATTTAAACTTTGAACAGAAGCTTTTAGGTGAGATAGCTGAGAAGAGGAAAGAAGAGATATTAATATATTATTCATTATTTAAGTGAAAATATCCTATTATAAGAAAAATTATATGTAGCTTACATATAATTCTACCAGGTACAGCATTGAAATTGTGTACTTTTGTGAAATTTATCTTATATATATATGAGAAATGTAGAATGATTGGAAGTAATGCCCACACATTATTCAAAATATTTATCACTAGACAATAGTTAATAATATTTCATAAATGTGTTTTCTCTAAATTTTCCTGATACTCAAATTAATTGAATTCCTTTCATAATTAGCAATAAAATAAATGCTTCAAGAACACAATGAAAAGATCATCTGCCTCCTCTATTTTATTTATTTATTTATTTTTGGTACTGGGGATCCAATTCAGGTTCTTGTGCTTGCAAGGCAGAGGCGGCAGAACCCCTGAGCTAAATCCCCAGCCCTACCTTCTATATTTTAAATGAAAAATATAGTGCACAATTTAGTTATTCTATTCCTTTTGTCATCGATATTTGTGGTTTTACAAGTTTGTAAGAAGTATATATATTTATAAAATATACTTTTTCTTTGGAAGAAATCCATTTGCTTTGTTACAAAGATGAAACTAGAACATTCTATATTTCTTACCACAATGCTCTACTTCTTAAAATTTTATTTATTAATGTGTTTTCTTCATCCTTTAATTATGAAATATTTCAAGTTTGTTGATATAGATAACATATTGATGAACACACTTATATGACTGTCCAGCAATTTTGAAAAACATTAATAACTAAAATAATTGTTCTCCTGATACTGTTCCAAAATTCCTGGAGGCCTTCTTCACTCTTTACTGTGACTGTATTTTCAAATAAATTTGAGATCACTGATATCTTTTCACTTGATCTACTGCTTTACTTATGACATCTATAATGTTTTCTAACTTTGTTTAAATTTATTATTTAAATGCTTGAGCTGAAAAGCACAGCTGAAACCTTTCTGTTTGCTTTGTAAATCATTTTTCCTTTTCTCTGTTAAGTTCTTCTGATAGGGTAATGAAGTGGTTATGTTTTGTCTTAGAGCTCTTTTAGTTTCTTTAAAAGAATTGTTTTAAATTGTCCATCTGAAAATTGGCTTTTATTGGTATTGACCATTCAGATGAGGCTAAAATTTCTTAATGCTTTTTGATGTGTGGCAACTTCTGGGTTAAGTGCATATTTCATTCTTTTCATTCTAACTTTATACTTGTACTTCCATAAATTCTAAGCAAGCTACTTATTTTCTCTGTACACTTTACTGTTTTAGCACTACACAGTACCCAAAGTCCAGGTCTGCTCTTGGTGTGATGTTGGGGTTTCAGCACTAGAGGTTGTTTGAAGAGTTTGTGTTTGTCCCAAGCCTACTACTGATGTACTGAGAATTATCTGGGGAAGTGCTCACTGAGTGTTTTCTGTCCACATCAACCTTTCCTAGGAAGTGGTTAGGCCCAGATGTTCATCCAGTCACCAGCTAGTGGGCAACCACTGAAGACTGTCTCTGGCTTTAGGAAGAATCTTTCTGGAGGGAAAAGCACCAATACACTAGTTACAGTACTGACAATCTCCATTTTCCTTTTCCAAGAAGTTTTGCTGTCCTTATTATGCTGACTGGACAAGTAATGGGGTAGGCAACCTGATGGAAGGACACTAATCTGCCACGTCCTGAGTCCACAACCTACCAATATTAACATAGCATTGGGATAAGTCCAAGGTCCACACAGCTATGGGACGCCTCCTGCAGAGATGGATTTATGACTCAAGACCACTGCAACCAGCCACAGGTGATGTTTTCTAGATTAGAAATCTGAAACATTGGAATCATCTGCCTCTGCCTCAAATCCAGGATGTTGCAGAGGATCTTTTTGTATTTAGTAAACTGTGGCCATAGGCCGGTAGGATTCTCCCAGAGTTAGGTATACTGTGATGGTGAGTTTCAAGACTAGGTCCTGAGTTTATTAACCTGTCCTACTTTTAGTAAATGAATTTTGCTCCATGCTATACTCTCCCAGGTTGGCATGGCACTGGTGAATACAGTCCTTTGACTTTGAACACTAATGTGTCATATCTGAGTGTTACGGCCACAAGTACCAGCATACCTCAGGCCCACATCAGAACTGGTAGTGATACAAGCCAGACGAGTCCCTTTACTGGGCTGTAGGTCTCTGTCTAATACCAGGGCATCTCTAGAGGATTTATCTGTGAGCACTGGCCTGAGGGTAGCTGTAATGCCTGAGGTTGGGGGAGGAGTGGTAGTGGGAATTCTGATTCCAAATCTCAAGCTAAACTGGGTAGCAACTAAATCATACAGCCCTAAGGATCTAGAGAGCTTCCTAGTAAAGGTTGTACTCCATGACATATACAAGACTGCTAACCATGCAGCCAAAGCACAAATATATTCCACCAGCCTATGTATTCCCTATCTATTATGAGGGTGGGTCTACTGATTCTGTCAGGGACCAATGACCTGGGTTTAGAGTCTTTTGTTTTCTGCTTGGTAATCTTATTGCAGGGACTGGCAGTAAGCTTTGAGGCAAATTTTCTGTACTTGCTTTTGTTTCCCAATTTCCAGGGGGTGATGTTTTGCTTCCCTTTTTGGGGCTCCAGGTAGGGTGTGAAGAGGTGACCATCGCACCTTGGCCCATTGGTTAACGTGGGTAGTGGCCTGGGAGAAGGGTTGTGTGATACTACCCAGCACACACTCTCTCTCTCTCTCTCTCTCTCTCTCTCTCTCTCTCTCTCTCTCTCCCCGTTTCTTTCTCTCCTCTTGCACTGCATAGATTGGGGGAAGGAGAGCTATGAACAACTCTTTCCCTCTTGACTTTTCAGTGAACCTTACTATTATACTCAAATCAGGCAATGCCTCTTCTCACCAGATTTGCTTAGCTCTTGTGAAGGTACTTTGATGAATAAATAGCTGTTCACATTCATTTGTCTCTAGCAGGAAGACAACTAGAGGATCTAATTTATTGTCACCATTCTCCACATTTTAATCACAATCTTCCATTTTTACTTTGACATAAATAAAGTATTGCTAACCAGTGCCTTTGGGATAAAGTCCTTAAGTATGCACACACAATCTTTTTATAGTCACAAATTGCTTTTGTTTTTTAACTTTGAAAAGTGTGTTTTTAAAAATCTGTTTTGGTATATTTTCTCTGACCAATCACCTATTGTGTATTTCTGGTTTTAATATAATTCATCTCAGTGCATTGCTGTTCCTTTTTCTGAATTGTGGAAATCATTTCAAGATTATTTTTTGCATCAGTAATTCTGTTTTATCATTTGTGTTCCTGTCTCCAACTGTAGTTTTAACAGTGCTTTTGTATTCTTTCGCAGTTGCCTTGCAGTAATTTAAATTTATTTTCAGCAAGAGAGTTCTAGATTGCTATTTTTAAAAAATATGGAATATTTACAAAGTCACTTAAAATTATGTTATATATTTTTGAAACAGAATATATATATATTAATATTATATATTAATTATATATATATATAATTTCTTCATGGCCATTTAATGTGTTATAAAATGGAAATACATACAAACCACTATCCTTCCCGGCACTACTAGTACGTCTTGGAGAAACCAAATATCCTGCTACTCACGCCTGCTCTATACTGTCTCTTTTTCTCTTTAGGTGGGGGAAAAAACAAAGAAACAAATGAAAAACAAAACAAAAAACTCCCTTCCTCCTTGCTTCTCTCTTACCATTCCTCTTCTTTCAAGGAAGCTTTCTTTTATATGTGTATTTGCCAGCAGCAATGCTCTCTTCCTATGAAATTGCCGTCAAATGCATTTTTGAAATGACTTTTTGTTTTAGTTTACAGATCCTTTGGTTCTCAGAGTTGAAAAATATATGGAACAATTTGTAAAGATTCTACTTATCTTTGGCATTTAGTCTCTCTTCATTTTAAGTCCTGGGAGGGGTGCGCTAAAAGCAACTGGGTGTCATGATTCAGTCATACTTAAAGGGGAAAAGGAATTCCTTCCTCTATCTTTCTATCCATTTCCAGCCCCCTACAACCTCCTAGGAAAAAGGCAAGTGACTCAGTCTTATTTTATCCAATGGAGTTTGTTTAAACAAAACAATGACATTTTCCTTGAGGAATAATATTTATTTATAGAGTTTGACCTTAGAAAATTATCCCTGTCTAATGACAGGAATGAACCAAGTAATGTAAATGAACCAAGGAAATGAACCAACAGTGTATGAATTTGTAATGCAGTGATCACCAGAGAATGCCAAAGAAGTTCTACAACTTTCCAGGTACCAAATAATGATATTTTATAAATTAAATCAAATATCTCTCACTGTATAAGGTAATAGTTCACAAAGTATTATTGTAAACCTTGTATGCTATACTTCCAGAATGAAGAGCATATGTTAGAGGCAGGAAGGTAGGGCCTGGGAGATTCCTGCAATATGTAAGTCTTCTCTCTGCATGGGGTAAGCCCTTGATAACATGTATTTTTGAAATCTTTGGATAAACCTTGGTATTAGGCAACATGTTTGATAGTTTGGATCTGACATGACATCTATCTCTTTCTTTGTGAGAACTCAAGTGATTATTATCTGCCAGGCTCTGATATTTTGCTGGGAAGAGAGCTGATGCAAAGAGAATATTATTCTACTTATGGGTTTTAGATTTTATTGAAAATGATTGACATTTAGTGGTCCAACATATTATGTGGCAGATACAAAGGATAATGATTGAAAGTGTCAGCATAAGGAAAGAAAAGGTGATGCATTGGTTACTGTTTCAGAGTGGAGGAAGCAAATCTTTTTCTATAAAGGATCAGAGAATAATTATTTTATGGGTCATACAGTTTTGTTGCAACTATTCAGTTCTGCTGTAGTAAGAGCAGCCATGCAAATTATAAAATATCTAAAATGATTTTGTACGTGTCTCAATACTATATTACTTACAAAATCATCTAGGACTAGATTTGGCAGATACGGCCCCTGGTCTCTGCATTGCAAAACCCCACTCTTGATTGTATGTTTTGATAAAGCTGCTTGGAGATAACAATAGACCATAAGATCTGGATGGATATTTTGCTCTCATAATTTACAATATGCTCAATGATAGTAGTTGTTCATACTTTGTTTTGTGCAGTGAGTAAAATGTTCCATAGCCTTATTTGGAGAGGAGGAAACACCAGATATTAGATAGGAAAATTAAATGAAATTATTCAAATAAAATTTTTAAAGCTACTACTTTTGAACTTAAAGTTGGTTATAAAATTCATTAACTTTGAAAATATACTGTTAATCCTTAGTTTAATACACAGGAAGTATGGAAATAGCTGGGTCAAATGGAACTTACAATCCTAGTTCCGTGAGGTATCTCCATGGTGATTCCCACAGTGGCTGCACCAGTCTGCACTCCCACCAAGAGTGGAGCAGGGCTCCTCTTTCCCCACAGCCCCACCAGCATTTGTTATTGGTAGATTTCATGATAGCAGCCATTCTTTCTGGAGTGAGGTGGAATCTCAGCATTGTTTTCATTTGCATCTCTTAAGTGACCTGTGATGTTGAAAGCTTTTTCATACGTTTATTTGCTATTTCTACTTCTTTGTCTGAGAAATGTCTTTTCATTTCAGATGCCCATTTAGAATCACCCCAGTGATATATGTTCATTCATGTTCATAAACTTGGAATCAGCTCAGTTGCCCATTACCTGGAGATTGGATGAAGAAAATTTTATTTTTAAAATAAAATGGAGTACTACTCAGCCACAAAAAATGAGAAATTAGAGACATTATAGCTAAATGAGTGCACACTGAGGCAATAATCTTAATTAAAATACATAGGACACATATGTAAACACTGAATAGTTTCTTGTGTGTGAAATTTAAAGTGTAAATAAGGACTAAAATGTATAATAGATAATGGGAAATAGGAAGAAAAGGGGCAAATGGGAAGGGGAAATGGGAGGGGTAGGGGAAAGGAAAGAAGGGAATGGAATTAATATGGGAAAATGAAAAAGTGGAAACAAAGTCTTTGTAGATAGGGAGGGATAGAGGGCTTGGAGGGAGAGCAGGGGAATGGGGAAAAAATAAGAACCTAGATGAATTATGTAGAAGTGCAAATTTCCATTTATGAATGTCATTGCCTTGTACAGCTTGAATATACCAATAAAATTAATTTAAAAATATAGAGGAAGTAAATGGAGAACTAAGTCAAATAATGGAGTGATGGGTGTGAAGAGGATCAGCAATTAAACAAGGGAAGACATCTCATTAGTGTGGAAGAATTTGGAACAGGCTAGTGACTAGTGTCTCCTATGCTTTCCTTCTTTAGTCTCTTAAGTTCATTTACTTTTTGAAGCAAATTTTTAAGCCTTTGAATTGTATTGCAATAGATATATTTTTATTTTCTTCTCTTCTTTCTTTTTCCTACTTCTCTTCCAATTCCCCCTTCTTTTTCTTCTGATCTAAAGCAATCTAGGTAATATTTTGTCAAATAAATACAGTAGGATAAAACTCAGTTTAAACTATTTTTATTGGCATCTTCTTTTTTTTGAAAATATTCATGAATTTGTCTTCTGTTATAGTTTAATGTCAAACTGTAAGAACTCTGGAAAATTCTTTTTCATCTTTTTAATACTTAGTTTATACATCTAGAAGGTAAATAAAATATAAATTTACTAGAATCCTTTAATGCTTTTCTCTATAATTCCACCCCACCCCCAGTACTGGGAATCAAACTCGGGTCTTTGGGCTTGAGAGGCAGGCTTTGGAACCATTGAGCTAAATCCCTGGCCCTGTAATGTCTTTAAATTCCAGATTATTGCTAAATATAACTGTTCCTCACTTAATTATAGAAGGTAAATAAAATATAAATTTACTAGAATCCTTTAATGCTTTTCTCTATAATTCCACCCCACCCCCAGTACTGGGAATCAAACTCGGGTCTTTGGGCTTGAGAGGCAGGCTTTGGAACCATTGAGCTAAATCCCTGGCCCTGTAATGTCTTTAAATTCCAGATTATTGCTAAATATAACTGTTCCTCACTTAATTATATAACAATTATTAATTTCATATCCAATGATCCTGCATTTGTTTGATAATACCTGTGCTAACCACCTTTAATATTTTGACTTCTGCATCTCTGGAATGTCTTGAATGACCAGTGATGTGCAACATTTTTTCATATATTTACTTGCTGTTTTTACTTCTTTGTCTGAGAAATGTCTGTTAATTTCAGATGCCCATTTTTTAATTGGGTCTTTATATTTGGGGGGCAATTGTTTTGAGTTCTTTATATATTCTAGATAATAGTCCTTTGTCTGAGGAGAAGCTGGTAAAATTGCAGATGAAAACAACACTGATATTTCACCTCACCCGATAAAGAATGGCTGCTATCAAGAAATCAACCAATAACAAATATTGGTGGGAGAAAAGAACCCTTCTCCATTGTTGGTGGGAGGGCAGACTGGTGCAACCACTATGGAAATCAATATGAAGATACCTCAGAGATGGGACTAGAGGTTTCATTTGACCCAGCCATCCTTCTCCTGGGTATCTTTCCAAAAGAATTAAAAGAATCATATCACAGAGACACGTGCACACCTACATTAATAGCAGCACAGTTTGTAATAGCTAAAACTTGGAAACAGCTCATTTGCCCATCAGTTGGAAACTGGATAAAGAAGATGTGGTTTTTCTATAAAATGGAATACTACTCAGCTATAAAGAATGAGAAATTAGATTCACTCATAGGTATATGGATACATATTAGGATATGCTCCGAAGTGAAATAAATAAATCACTGGTGTAAATATTGAACAGTTTCTCTGGTGTGAAAAACTATAATAGTAAACAAGATCCGAATGAGATAATTGACAATGTGAAATAGAAAAGTGCTAAACATGTAGAGTAAGTGGGATGGGTAGGGGAAAGGGAATAAGGGAAAAGAAAAAAATATGAGAAAATGAAAAAAAGGAAATAAAGTGTTTGTAAATGGGGAGGGGAGGAGGGGGTGAAGGGAGGGCAGAGGCAAGGGGAAAAAATGAGAACCAAGACCTGTCATGTAAAGGTACAAGATCCCAATAATGAATGTAACTGTGCTGTATACCTAAAATGTACCAAAAAACTCAAAAAAAGAGAAAAAATTAACAGATTCTTTTGTCTATTCACTGATATAACATACAGTATTCACTTTATATATCATCTTCCAAGGAAACTGTAATCTCTGGAAAATCATTTATATTAAAGTTTAACCATAAAAATATAGAACTGGAATATTGTTTTAGACTATTTAGGCTGCAATAAAAATGCCATATATTGTGTCTCATAAAAAGCAGGAATATTTTATATTTTTCACAATTGTGGAGGGTACTGAATCAAAGAGCAAGATGCTGATAAATCCAGGTGAAGGTCCATATCTTGGTTCATTCAACATCTTCTTTTTGTGTCCTTATAAGGGTAGCTCTGGTCTCATTTGTTACTAAAGGTTTGTTGAATGTTTCCATGAGGGCTTTACATTCCAGATGTTATCACATCCCAAAAGTCTCATCTCCTAATGCTATCTTATTAGGGATTAGGTTTTAACATATAAATTTGGGGCACAGACACTGAATACAATTACACTCTCTGAGGTCAAAATATTTGTTTTTCTTCCAGGTTGAAAGCATTAAAGATCACTTTAACATTCAGGGATAGTGACTGTGTGCCCTACATAGACTGCCTCTTTCACTAACTGCACAGCTTTGGCAAGTTAATGATTACTGTGAAAATCTGGTCCCTCCATAAAGAGGGATATTACATGGTGAGCATCTGGAATACAGCAACTGAAATAAATGATAACATTTCTACCTGCATTACAATTGTATTGGCATTTTAAAGCACTTATCAGTTTTTGTCCTTCAATAATTACAAGTTAGTAACATTGCTTACCACTTTCTATGATTTTGGTTAATTACCCGAGATTAACAATCATAGCATCTGCTATGTGATTCCTTAGCAGTTTCCTTTCGTCCCACTGTCTATATTTAATTTTGACCATCATCACTGTCTTAGTTGCTTTTCTCATTGCTGAGACAAAGTATGTAACTCCTAAGGTCACGGAGGACAAGTTCATTGTAGCTCAGTTTGTAGACATTTCATTTCATAGCTGGCTGGTTTCAAGGCTGAACATGTAGGCAGAGGGCCATTACAGAGGCAAAACAGTTGATGGTGGGCAGAAAGCAGCAATGCAGTA